TCGCTGGCCCCGTTGCTGGAGGCGGGCAGCGGGGGGCGGCGCGGGGGGGGCAGCGGCCGCAGCAGCGCCAGCGAGGCCCCCCGAGACTCCCTGACCAGCCCCGAGGAGGAGGCGCTGGCCGAGGCGGGCGACGGGGGCGACGAGGGGGGCGACCGCAAGAGCCCCTGGCAGAAGCGAGAGGAGCGGCCACTGATGGTCTTCAATGTCAAGTGAGTGTGGGGAGGGGAGTCCCCCAGTCCCGGGGGGTGGTGGGAGGGGGGGGACACCGCTGCTGTCACCCGTCCCAGCCCACCACCGTCCCCTCCCACCACCGTCCTGCCGAGCCACTGTCCTGTCCCGTCATTGTGCCATCCCACTGCCACCTCGTGCCACCACCATCCCATCCCAATCCCACACAGCCATCATCTCATCCCACTGCTGTCATCCCCATCCCACCACCCTGCCACCAGCCTGTCCTGTCACTGTCCCATCCTGCTGTGCCATCCCACCACCCCTGTCCCTTCCTGCCACCATCCATGCCTGCTGCTGTCCCTCGCCCACCCCCACCCAGTGTCCCACCCGGGGAGGGGGCAGTGACCACCCCCAGGCCACCCGTGTCCCCATCTGCTTGGAATCCCCATCCTGCGCCACCAGGCTTTGCTGTCCCTGTCCCCTCTGTGCCCCCCCATGACATCTCCACCCAGCACCTCTCTGTTTTTTGTGGGGTGGGAGCTTCACGTTCCGTGTCCCCCCCAATCCTGAGCCGTGTCCCCGCTTGTGTCCCCACAGGACGGGGGGGGCTGGCACTGCCCCCCGAGCCAGCGGTGCCTCCAAGCTGCCGTAGGAGCTGGGGGGTCCCTGTCCCCTCCCCCTCACCCCCCTTCGCAWTTTAATGGTGTTTCTAAACGTTTTCTATGCGGTGAGGATGACGAGGGGTCACTGGGGCCAGACTGGCCRAGGGGGGGCCATGGGGACCCCCCCCGGGTGCCAGCTGGGCAGGGAGCTGCTGCCYGCACGTCCTGCCTGCTCCTCAAAGCCGTTAATGTATTAAACACAAACCCCCCGACCGCTGCCTCCTGCCTCAGTTTCCCCTGCGCCAACAGCTTCTCCTAGAAACCGTTTATTGGAGTGGCAGCACTGGGGGGTGGGTGTGGTGCTGGCGGTGACCCTGGTGACATCAGGGCAGGTCCCAGCGCAGTGGCAGCAGTGGGGTGGGCGCCAGCAGCTTCTCGCAGCTCGCAGTGGCCACGTTGCAGGTGTAGCCCCGGGGACAGCAGTGCTGGTGGTCACCGCAGCACACGGCCTGGRGGGACACGGGTGGGGTCAGCGGGGGACACGGGTCGCTGGGGTGGCACAGGTACATTGGGGACAGAGGTACCTGGGGGTCTGGGTGCCATCCTGATGGGGGTACACGGGATGGGGGACATGGGTGGCTGGGTGGCACAAGTACATTGGGGACAGAGGTACCCGGGGGTCTGGGTGGCAGCGTGATCCCCCTCCCTGTCCCAGCAGAGACCCAGGAACTGTGACCAAACCCTGTCCCCAAGGTGCCCACAGAGCCCTCATGGAGGGGAACAGTGACAAATACGGGAATGTCCCATGTCTGCCCAACC